TGTCGGTGGATACCTGTGTGCACAGGGGACTTGTGTCGCTGCTGGTGCTAGTGGAGGTGGCAGTAGCTGAAATGGACTCAGACCCTTCCTTGTGCCAGACCATGTTTCTTTTTTCATCTTACACTTTTGCTCCTTTCCCCCATCCTTCCTGACTACTCAGGCCTTTTCTGCTTTGTACTTAATCCTTTTCTCCCTCGGTCCCCTTGGATAAGCATTTAACATTTACCTTTGGTATCTTGACCTCAGTTTTTCGTCCATGTATTTTCAGTTGCTGTATTGCTTCACTCCAGGAAACATCAGAAGTTAAAACACAAATTTAAAATCTGTCACAAAGATCTGGTCTAAATTTTAGAGGTAAACATCGAGGTCTCTTGCTAGAGACCAGCCGCATTTGATGTGATACTACATTCAGATATCTCCCTGCCCCCCACATTGCTGTGCTTGTGTGCGCCGCTGGGGCAGGTCGGGGGGTCTTAGACCCTCAAAGTTAACAGAAAACACGTGTAATTATAACATGCCAACTTCTTGACATTTTCGACAAATCACATTGTGACATTTTACAAATAACACTGAACACTAAACAGCAAGTAGCTAAGCTGTTTACCTGAATTAAATACCTTCATCCTCATTTTTATATTCCGTGGTACCACACTGTACCTGTCCCTACCAGGTAACACGCCACATTCAGAAAATTCTGTGGTAATGACCATTCTAGAGCCTGTGCAAATTAAAAGTACTAAATCCCCAAACTGGAAAAAAAAAGTTTAATTCAAATTAAATGGATACAATCCAGTATACACTCTTTTTTTCTTTTTTAACAAAGAAGAATAAAATAACAGTATTAAGTATTTCCTTTGCAAAGGAAATTCCAGCTCTCACCTTTCAAGCAACATCTGCACATAGTTTTTGTTTTAATCTAATCTAACTAGTCTAACGCCCTTTTGTTCTTCTAGAGACCTTAGGAACTATTTTAACTAATTTTAAACAGACTTTAAATAAAGTATCTGAAATTATTCCATTGAGTACCCTCCCCACAGACACAGCAAAACCCAGAATGTGAAGTTGATAATTTGAAATAAACTAATCTAATCAAGTCCAAGAATACTCCTTTTCCAGTAATCCCATAATGCTTCTCTTTGTCTAGCAATTTGATTGTAAGTATGTTATAGATAAAAAGGTATGAAAATCAGTTACTTCTCCTGACCCAGAGATATGAAGAAAGTGAAAAGGAAAGCCATAAAGTGTGCGGAAATATTTCCAAGACATTTATAATAGCCTTCTTGTAGCCAGAATATATAAAGAATTTGGAAAAAAATCAGTAGGAAAAAGACAGCCCAATAAAGAAATATTTAATACACCAGAACAGCTACTTCACAAAAGCTAACATCCAAATGGCCAGAAACGTAATCAACTTCTTTAGTAATCAGGCAAATACAAAATCAAACAATACAGGGGTGGCAAAGTTTAAAGACTAACAACACCAAGTGTTGTGACTGAGAGAGACGGCTGGGACTCTGAGACCCTGCGCGCGAAAGTAAGTGGAGTAACTTCGGAAGCCGGGCTGGCAGGTCCGGAATTGCGTGAGTGCATATCCAGAGGCCGAGCATTTCTGCTCTGAGTGCGTGCAAGAAAAATATGTGCTCTCGTGCATCTCAAGGGTTAAGTGTAGCAATGCTGGTGGTAACGTTATTTTGTAAGGGACCCAAACTGGGAGCAAACAGACAACTTTCCCCAGTAGTATATCCATGTGATGGACCAGTACACGGGAATGAAGACGTCTGGACAGCTACATGCCACAGTAGGGCACTCTCACAGAGGTCGGTTTCTGCGGGAGAAGCCAGACCTAAAAGAAGATACGTCATAGTAGCATGTCATACAATTTCCCGAAATAGGCAGAATTAAACTCCAGTGCCATAAAGGTGTAACAGCTGAAAAGTGGAAATGGTCCAGATGTCTATCGGTGGGGGGACGGTGAGTAAATTGTTCTGTATTCCAATAACGGAACGCTGGGTAACGAAGAAAAGGAGCAGATGTGAACTTCCGGTGACATGGAGGACTTTCATAGACATGTTCAGTGACAGAAGCAAGACACAAAAGAACATGGTTCCCTTTATGTGGATTTCAGACAGGCAGGGATCTACAACTGTGATGTGACTCCGGGGTATTAGGTGTCCTGGGGACAAAGGGAACGATGGTGGCCAAAGGGTTGTGTTCTTTATGTCAACCCCTTAGCCGCACATGCGTGTCTCATACACCTTTCTCTTTGTGTGTTTCGTTTCCTGATTCTGAAAAGGCTTAGCAGAGCGCGAGAGCCGTACTGTCTGGGTTCACATCCCAGCCTCGCTGCTTTCCAGCTGTGTAACTTCGGGAAATTTATTCGACGGCTCTAGGCCTCGATTTCATAACTGTCACGTGAAGATAATCAGGCCGATTCTGTACGATTTGTGGTAGAGATTAGAAAATACTGGAGTCTTCGCTCTGCTGTTAGGCACGTGAAAGAGCCGCTGGCTTGTGGTAAGCGCGGCGTGCCTGCCCGCCCCGCTGCAGCCGCTGGAGCCATCGCCAGTTTGTTCAAGGGAAAGTTAAACTCCCGCTAAGTTAACGTCGTGTTTATAAACCTATCGTGGCTCTCCGTGTAGGTGTGTTTGTTTAGGTCTCTCGGAAAAGTTTATTTTCTCGAGTGTCCGTGTTACTTCACAAACTAATTACGAGGTGTTTTACGGTTGTCAGTAAAATTTTCCTTGCTTGGATTTCATAATTGGTCTTTGCTGGCGTCTAGCAGCTAATACTGTTGAGGACTTACTGCTGTCAGGCTGGGTTCTAAGGTCTACGCGGACTCACCCTTTTTATCCTGTGCAGGACCCCCGGTTTACCTAGAGTCGAAACTGAGAACAGGGGGCCTGGGTGGCTCAGTTGTTGAGCGTCTGCCTTCAGCTCAGGTTGTGGTCCCAGGGCTCTGGGATCAAGCCCTACGTCGGGCTCCCTGCTCAGTGGGGAGCCTGCTTCTCCCTCTCCCTCTGTGCTGTCTCTCAAGTAATTAAATAACATCTTTAAAAAAAAGAAACTGAGAACAGAGGGTAAAGGTAGCAAACTAAGTATGTGGTCTGGGATTCAGTCTGGCCCCAGCACCCACTTTACTCCACTGATCTGTGCCAGGAAAGCTGTTCGTTTTATACTTTTATTTAGTAACTGGTCACTTTCCTTAGCATAATTTTTTAGTTGACTTTCTCAGGTTTCCAAGAAGCCAGTTATATCATTTGCAAGTAGTTATTTTTTGTGTAGTACCCAATAATTCTGGTTCCCTTGCTGTACTGCTTTGTTTTTAATGTTCGGGGGAAGCGTCAATAAACGTAACGGAGTGGGCATCCTCCTGTTAGTCCAGCTGAATGCGAACGCCTGTATTTCCTAAATGACTGAGGGTGACATTGACTGTTAACTGCAGACTGTTTTCTTTATGGTAAGAATACGGTTTTTTTAGTTACAGATGGTCTTTGATTTGTTATTCTGTTTTGCTTTAAAATTAGGGGCGGCTTTTAAGTTATATCAAATATCTTTGTGTATCCTTGAAGGTGACCACATAGATTTTTCTGTTAAACCATGTAATGACTCATCCCTACCTTCCTAGAATTTTCTTGAGATTTTATTTATTTATTTTAGAGAGGGAGCATGATCCTGGGGAGGGGGAGAGGGAGAGTGAGAATCTCCAGCCAACTCCTCGCTGAGCACAGAGCCCGATGTGGGGCTCGATCCCGCGACCCCGAGATCATGACCTAACCCGAAATCAGGAGCAGGACACTCAACTGACTAAGCCACCCAGGCGCCCTGCATTCCTAGAATTTTTAAAATAGTGCCAAATCTTTATTGCTAAAATTTCTGTGAGATTTTTGTGTATATAATAAATACAAATGAGCGTGGTCTGCAGTTCTCTGCCGTTTTTGTTAGGTGAATTCTAGCAGTGTAGGAGGAATCTGGAAGATTCCTGTCTTTTCTTGCATTACATACTGTATTTTAAAATAATTTTTGAGAACATTTTGTGGTATGGCTGCCTAATACCGTTCATTATGTTTTTTCATTAAAGATCTCAAGTGTTTCTTCTTTTTCACTAATTACAGAAATCTTCAAACAAACATAAGTAGAGAGGTTGATACCGTTTTGTTCATTTCTCACCTCACTTTGTTTTTCTCTGAAGTATTTTGGACCTTGCTGCTTAAAGCATGGATGTTGCCTGGGAACTTGCTGCCCGTGGACGTAATCATGGTCACACAGGCACATACTTCACAGCACCTTTGCCGTACACTGTGGGTTAGAGGCGAGTCTTCGCTCGTGCCCCCACGCTTGCTTTAGGTTCCAAACCCGTTACAAGGAATGTTCTGAGATGTTGAAATAAGGCTTTGAACATTTGAACGTTTGTCTGGGGTCCTGGAAGGGAATTACAAAGTCAGAGGCATAAACTTGAAAGCTTTTGATGTCTGTTGTCCAGTTGCTGTCAGAGATCCAGTACCTCCTTTGTTTAAATGGTTGACAGATGACCGCACTGAGAGTTCAGAAATGTGCCTTTGCTGCCGGTGAGGTCATTAAAGGACGAGAAAGCAGGAGAGAAGACCAGAGTAATTAGAAATTCTTAGCATAATCACTTGAGTGAGTGAGAGCCTGAAGGTTATTTGAATTGATTTTCAGCGTCTCGAACCATTCGGTCAATTTACAGTTTCTTACTAAATCTAGATCAGTGTGTGGTTGTCGGGAAACATTCAGGTGCCCAATGCTGTGTCGGAGGTTAGAGTGGGAGAAGATACGTGCTAGCATCTGTGCCTTTAAAGGGCTTATGGGAATCTTACTATATTGTGTACATTTTTTTCATCTTTCTACAAAATATAACTTCGACTTACAGAAGTTAGTGCTGAATTTCGCATACGCTGGGTTCTCACTGAAGTAATTTGAAAATCTTCCTAGGTGTGACTTCCACCAAGATAAAAACAAAGTTGGCTTTTCCTCTGTTTTAGCCACAGCGTACTGTGTACAGACTGACTCTAGTGAAAGCGTGGAATGGGGACGAACTCCAGGCCTACGCAGAGCTGGTGTCCCTGGGGAACCCCGACTTCATCGAAGTGAAGGTAAGCTCCCGCCGGCCGGTGTCATCGTATCACCCCTGGTGCCGCGCTGGCCGCCGTGAAGTTAGCATCTTTTAAAAACTCAATGGGGGTCCCAGATGTTTTATTTATTCATTCAGGAATATTAATCAAGAGCCTGGCACTGTTCTAGGCATTGGGGATAATAACAGTAAAGACTAAGCTTTTGTTCTTAGAAAGCTTATGTTTATGGAGAGGTGGACAGTCAACACGAAATGAATAATGAAAAACTACATCCTAACATGAATGTCCTGAGAAATAAAATAGTGTTATAGTGAGGAACTGGCTGGCTTTAAAATAAACTTTTGTCGTGGAGAATTTCAAACATAAACAGAAGTGGTGAGACTGGTCTAATGACCCTCCATCCAGTCATCACCCGGCTTCAGAAGTTGTCCACTCCTGACCAGTCCTGTTCTTAGTGTACCCCGGCCCATTTTCTCTGCCTTACCCTGTAATTTGGAAGCAGAGCCCCGCATTGTATGACTTACCCATAACTGTTTGAGGAGATGTCTCTAAAAGACAGACACTTGTTTTAAACACTTACTCAGAATACTGTTCTCACAGCTGCACAGTGTTCACAATGGTCATGCAAGTGTCGCAAATAGAAGGCTTTAAACTTGACCAATTATTTCTTCTTATTTAAGCAGGATTCGTGAATCTGGGTCCCAATAAGGGTCATAGACTGAAATTGGATTATTTCTCTCTTAAATTTCTTTTAACCTGTTAGTTCCTCCTCCATGTGTTTTCTCTCCTCTGTCCCACCTCCCACACCAGTCATCTTGTTTATTTATCCTGGCTAGTTCCTGTGTCTGTATTTTACATCTTGCTGACTGCATGTTCCTGTGTCCCCGTACTCCCTGTAAGTTGGCAGTTAGATCGAGAGAAGATTGATCAGGTGTGTGTGTGTGTGTGTGTGTGCTCGCACATGTGTGTGCGCGTGTGCGCATGTGTATGTGTGTGTGTCGCATCTCACGATTATCTGGCTGGTGGTATTTGTACTTGCAGCAGGAGGCAGTCATGTCTGGTTGTCTCTGGCCTGCTTTTGCCAGTGTTTCTTTGGGATGATTCCTGTAAGTGGATTTCTGTGCCAAAGGGCAGATACTATTTTGCTAGATATTGTGATTGGCTGTTTTAGATTTCATAAGGGGGTTTTGCTGAGGAGAAGAGGACTTTTTAACAACTGATTCCTAAATAGTAAGAAGCAATGCGGTACACAGAGGCCTCGGGTCAGGGCATTCCGGGCCACTGGCACAGGTAGTGTCCAAAGGTCCCGTGTGATCTCAGTGGGACAGCAGAGTCGGCGGAGACACAAGGTGAACCACAGAGGTGGGATGGGGCCGGGTTCTGTTAGAACTTCCAAGCAAGAAAAGAACTGGGTTTTATACTAAATTTCATGGTCAGCTTTTTGAATAGTAGATGTACTGGGCAAAGGTTTTAAGCTGGAGGGGATGTGAGGTGATTTGTGATTTTAAAAGGTCACCCTGCTGCTGTCCTGAATGGGTTACAGAGGCTCAGAGTAGGAGTAGCTAGACTAGTTATAAAGCAAGAGATGGGGCGGCTTGGGAAGGTCGTTGGAGACACCGCTGGAGAGCAGTGGGTGCACTTGGGATGGATTCTGGAAGTAGAACCCGCAGAGCTCATTGCCCGTGGAGATGCGGGGAGTGAAGGAACAGACAGAATCCGGACAGCACCTGGGTTTTGGCCGAAGCGATTGTGTGGCTTTGGAACAGTTTACTGAGCTGGAAGAGACCAGTGAGGAGGACGGGGTGTGCGGGTCATTGCACGAGTTCTGTGTTGGCCGCAGTCGTTTGAGAGATCTTTCCAGTATACAGGTCCAGGTCCCGTAGGCCGTCGTTTATATAAGCCCGCAGCTCTGGGGATGAGGCGGGGCTGGCCGCGGGTTTTGGAAGTCATCGGCATGCCACGGTGTTAAAGCTGTGGAGTGTTACGAGGCAGAGGGGTTTTTTGGACAACTAAGAATCCACGTAATGACAAAAAGTGACTGGAAAATTCAGCCGGTCTCCGAAAGCTCCATCCTCAGTGCATGTGCACAAAGTGGCTGTACTCCGCGTCATTTCAGGCGGTGTTTGAGTTCCGCAGCTCTTTTAGTGAGTCGTGCGTTCTGGGGTGCCGTATCCCGGGGGCCGGGGAGCTGGGGAGCGATGAAATGTGGTGCCTGAGTGTGCGGCGCTCCAGCTCTCGTCAGGTCAGAGACACTCTTTTCTTTGGAAATAGCTCCTAATTTTAAAAGGCTGCTCTTGGCAAGAGCTCTGATGATGCAGAGATGCGAACTACATCTGCAGTGTATGTGTCCGCTTAGGAAAACCTGGCCAGCACAGGGGATTAATGGGGTTTTAATTTATGACTTAGTTATTCAAGAGTGCTGCTCCCAGTGAGGTTGCAGTAAAACTTCTATTACAAAGCAAGTTGGCTCGATCGCACAGTCACCTTTTTTCTCCCCCTCCCTCCTCCTCTCCCTCCTTCCTTGTTTACAGAGAAGAATCACCCGGTATTATTTTTAAAAGAAAGATGGCTACTTTGTAAACAGTGTAATTTCTGTGGTGCATGTTTTAGTTTGGAACTCAGAAATAAAGCCTCTTGGCTACAGCTGAGGTGTTGTAATGACATGGTTGCTTTCAAACAAGAGTTCTTTTTTGCTGTTTGACCCTTGCGTCCAGAGGATACTTGTCAGCTCCCTCCATGTGCGGGGCCTGGTCAAAGCGCCAGAGACAGGACATTTGACATGGAGACGTTGTTTGGGACATGGATGGTCTTACTAAGTAAGACAAAGGCTACAGAAGTAAAATCAGGCACTTGAACAGATCTTACTTAAAAATTTTGGAGAAATATGTGATCTGTTCTCGATTTTAACTGCTTTACGTAAATGGTAAAATATACCCTAACAGATAACAGTTGTATCAGGGGAAAGCCTGGTGGCGATCAGCTCGTTCTTTGTAGAAGGCCCAAGGCAGAAATGGCCTGTGTTACAGTAGCTGCGCCAACTGAGGACTGGGTCACGTGCTTTGTTAAATTCAGCCCTCGTTTGTCCCACAAGTTAATGAAGTATCTTCCTTTTTTTTTTTTTTTTAAAGATTTTTATTTATTTATTTGACAGACAGAGATCACAATAGGCAGAGAGGCAGGCAGAGAGAGAGGAGGAAGCAGGCTCCCTGCTGAGCAGAGAGCCCGATGCGGGGCTCGATCCCAGGACCCTGGGATCATGACCCGAGCTGAAGGCAGAGGCTTTAACCCACTGAGCCACCCAGGCGCCCAAGTATCTTCCTTTTAAACTGAAGTAGCAAAAGGAGTGTTTGCAGAGTGTAGCCTACTGAGGAAGCAGAGCAAGTTCTATAATAATACTTTATTATATTTTTAACCATATACGTTTGCACATATTATATATAAGATAAGTATGGAAGGATATAAGGCTCTTCAGTGTTGTATTTAGAAGGACAGGAAAAGGCTTAGTGACTTTATTGTTCACGCGTCCTTGCTCTGCGAAGTACCAGTGAGCGTGCGTTACTTCTGTAATCCCAGTAACTGAAGTGAAATCAGTAGTGGAGAAGGCAGTCTTTCCCGTTCAGTTGAGTTAAACTGCTTAACGTCTGACCAAACATTTTCATTATTGTTGTCGTCTTATTTAGTTAAAGTGAAAAGTTTCCTAAAATGGCGGTTTTTAAAACAAGCGCTCTTCGAAAAACATCTGATGAGAGAGCTAGCAATGTGGTAGGCTAAGTAACTTCAGATTCCTCCGAAAACACTTAGAAGTCAGTGTGTTAAAATAAACATACTTTTGGGAGCATAGCCATCTGTCGGGTCTGTAAGGAAGTCCCTTCGGGGCTCGACAAAGAGAGGCCGCCCTGGTGGTCCTTCGTAGCTCCCGCACCGCTGGGTCAGGCCTAAAGCACAAACACTAGCCCTTCCACTTCCAGAGAAAGCACGGATCAGGACAGACTCTACCCGCTGGTACACCGTGGTGCCTGGAAGCTCGTCCTTCACCTGTGCTCTGGCATAAAACAAGGAGTCTCCCAGGGCCTGGCCCTCACATGGGCTTGGCATTAAAGCTTTAATAGTACCTCAGGGTCACATAATGCCCTGAAGGTGTGAGATTGATTGTCCAGACTGACCCTCGGCCGGCGCTAGGCCTGGGGCTCCCTGCGGAAGCAAACACAGTACTTCTTCACGTCTTGCATTTTCCAGTGTGCGAGCGTGCGCGCATGTACGGGCTCTGTCCTAGTCTGCACACGCTGGAGTCTTTTTTTTTTTTTCAGTGTTCCAGGATTCACTGTTTATGCACCACACCCAGTGCTCCATGCAATCCATGCCCTCCTTAATACCCACCACCAGGCTCACCTAAGGACCCTCCCCCTCTCCTCTCCTCCCAAACCATGTTTGTTCCTCACAGTCCACAGTCTCTCATGGTTTGTCTCCCCCTCCGATTTCCCCCAACTCCCTTCTCCTCTCCATCTCCCCATGTCCTCCGTGTTATCTCTTATGCTCCACAAGTAAGTGAAACCATATGATAACTGACTCTCTCTGCTTGACTTATTTCACTCAGCATCATCTCCTCCAGTCCCGTCCATGTTGCTACAAAAGTTGGGTATTCATCCTTTCTGATGGAGGCATCATACCCTACGACCCTGCAATTGCACTGCTGGGTATTTACCCCAAAGATACAGATGTAGTGAGAAGAAGGACCATCTGTACCCCAGTGTTCATAGCAGCAATGGCCACAGTCGCCAAACTGTGGAAAGAGCCGAGACGCCCTTCAGCGGACGAACGGATAAGGAAGATGAGGTCCCCCCCACACACACACATGCTAGAGTCTTCTGGGGAGTGGGGAGGAGCAGGCTCTGATACTTCGATAACGCTCCTAAAAAGTACTGATGTAGCCTGGGACAGGTTACTGATCCTCTCTGAGCCTAAATTTCCTCAGTATTAAAATTAGAATGATAGTATCACTTTAATAGGTTTGTGTTGAGAATTCAGTAGGATAATATATGCCTGGGTTCAGTAAATGTTTAGATCCCTTTTCATCAAGCACGTTTATTTAAACTAAATCAATAGAAGCTATTTCTTTATTATATTGGTTCCCTCTTTTCTGCCATTGCTAGTCTTATGAAACATTTTTCTGTTTTATTCCCTGTAAATGAACATATATTTTAGCTTCATTAGACTTAAATAGGCCTTTATTTGCTAGCCTAAGAATCTTAGTGATCATTATTTGCTTGCTTGTTTGTGAAAATGTGTTTCATGTTATAAACATTTGCTGTATCGAGAAACTCCCTAGCGCAATCCATTTGTAAATGAAATACTCTTTCTACCCTCTGCCCTGCATTGCACCTTGAAAATAGTCAGTGCTCAGTAATTATTTGTAGTCAGATGATTTAAACCTCCTTCACACTCTTGGCACTGGATCTGTCTGCAGAGCTCAGTCCTTGCGGAGTGCGTTTTGTAAAGCAAATGCCGTAGCCTGACCTCACCCCCTTTCTTTGCACAAAGGTAAAGAGTATATCCACTTACTCAGGTAGCGGTCCCGAACCGGAGGTCATCAGTTCCTTCGTGTCCTGTCATTAAAGACTGAATAATGGGAATGAAATTTTTATTAGATCAGAAGAGGGTTCTGGAGTTTAATGTCATATAAAAGAATACGTGACTTGATGTTTAGGCCATGGAGAATAGATCGGTTGGGGTACGGAGAAGAACAAGGCATAGAAGCTCAGAATTTAGACAATTACAATCACACGTTATATATGTATATTAGATGTCTGTGTACTAGGTCTGCGTCATATATGTGTACACAGAACATACACACCGGCAAGAGCTATGTGCAGGATATGAGTTTGGGGTCGGAGGCAGTAAAGGTTCCTGAACAGAGATCGAAGACGTGGTGGGAAATCTCGCCCAGTAAAGACTGGATGCAGAGCGGGGCAGTCCCATAGGAAGGCCTTGTGCCACGCTGAGAAGCTGGGGCTGGTTTTCTTGTGGGAAGAGCTGTTGAAACATTTTTAGGATAGAGTGTCATGTTTTGAGTATATTGTGCAAAAAGTCACGAAGCAACATTTCTCATCAGACTGAAGGAGAGAAACATTATCAGGAACCTTTCGACACCCAGTCCGCTTAATTGAAGTGTCAGATAGTCAGACTGGCACAACACGGCTCCTCGGACGGACCTTGAATCCCCAGGAAACCGTCCACGCAGCCAGTAAGGGACCGAGTCCTAGCGCAGAGCGATCCAGCCCAAAGGCAGCAGCGTAAGGGTGTGGGTCATTCTTTTCACGGCAGACCCAGAGATGGGTAAGTTGTCCTGTTCTTCAGGAACTTTCTTCGGGTCTGCTTGTTGCTCCTCAACCTACGGCTTCTGAAGTGAGGGCTTTCCAGTTGCCACATTGTGCCCATCCGTTGCTTGCTTGAGTTCACTCTCCTTTCAAAGCAGCGAGGGACAGAGTTGGTGCTGGTGCTAGACGGGGTGGGGACAGGGTGGCGTTGGGATGAGAAGGTGGCAGATGGCTACGATACAGAAAATGAAGTACTTTTAGACAATTTAGCTAAAGTGTGATCAGGAACGACGTCGGGGCAAATCATCGGTTGGACTGGAGTGCAGGATGGAGTGAAGCCGCCAGAGCAGAGAAGGGGGCATGGGGGGTCTGACTGACGGGGGGGGTGGACTGGGACTGGTTTCTGCCTGTAGCACTTCTGTCACAGAGAGCTCTGGGGCTCTGTGGTGGGCTCAGAAAGTTGCTTGCGTGGCCTACCCCAGAGGGTTTTGTCTGGCTACAATGAGAACTTCTAAGTGCAAGAATTCAGCCAAGTGGGAAGCCTCATGTGAACAGGACAATGTCACATGAAGGCACGATACTCTAGCGGTGGCGTTCGTTCTCTCTTTGCCGTTCCAAACCAAGTCCGTGCTTAACATCTCGTGATTTATTGCTGAACAGGAAATACTCAAATATTTTCCAAAGCCCTTGTCCTAAATGTAAGATCTAATCTAAAATCTGTTTCAAGGAACTTTTTTAAATATGAAAAGTGAACTCTTTTGTGTAGCTACTTATTAATTATATGAATTGCTCATATAATTCACACATCATCAACTGTATTTAAATTGAAATAAAGTCATTTCTCTAACTAATTTGACCTACCAGCAAATCATTTCTGTGTTTTGTATACATTTGGGGAAATTTAGTACAATTTTTCAGCCATACCTAAAGGTTTTTAAAACTGACATATTACTTGCTTTTTTAAATTCACCTAAATCTCAAGCTCAGTTTAATGAATTCTGTAAATCGTCGGGCTGGTAGAGAAGACGCTCTTGTTTAGTACAGCTAAGCTGGGTCACCTCCAGTCTGTGTTCAGCAAAGGTCACCTCGGTTTAGCGCACCAGTGACCTTTCTGAACGGCCATCTGGAGTTGCGCATTTTGCAGAGCTCATCAGAGTCTCTGGCCAACCCCCAGCTGCTCCGTCTGCAGGGTCACGGGCCCTCTGCAGTGCTCGTCCACAGGCTCTTCATAACGTGGCACCCTACCTCCTCCAGTCTGCGTGTCTGCGTGCGTGCGTGTGTGTGTCCGTATCCACGTATGTGTGAGAGTGTGTGTGTGTGCATGCACATCTGTATCTGTGTATGTGTGAGAGAGCGTGTGTGCGTGTACACACCTGTATCGATGTATGTGTGAATGTGTGTGTGCACATCTGTATCCGTGTATGTGAGAGAGAGTGTGAGTGGATGTCTTTTTATTTCAGTCATTCCCTCCTTAGTCATAGCAGATTTAGAATATTCAAAACACTTGTCAAGAAAGTTTGATCCTCGAATATTTAAAGAGCCCACAAAGTTAAGACATCCCTCATTACTAGGAGTGTATCATTATGTAACTTACCAAATAGAAAACTTAGTTATGGGGGCGCCTGGGGGGCTCAGTGGGTTAAAGCCTCTGCCTTCAGCTCAGGTCATGATCCTAGGGTCCTGGAATCGAGTCCTGCATCGGGCTCTCTGCTCAGCGGGGAGCCTGCCTCTCCGTCTCTCTCTGCCTGCCTCTCTGCCTACTTGTGATCTCTGTCTGTCAAATAAATAAATAAAATCTTTAAAAAAAAAAAAAACAAAAACTTAGTTATGGAACTTTGGGGTCCTATATGCCAGGGCTGTCAGGGAGCGTTTGAAAGACCAGGAAGCCAAGTTACCTCCATTTGTATGACTCAGGAATTTCTGGGAGGTGAGACACGCTTACACATGCAAGCGTGTGGAAGGGATGTATGCATAGCCCCAAATGTACTTCCTGTTTGGCCTGAATCTGTGTTTAAGTGTATCCATTTACAAAATGCATTACGAAGTGATCTCCTTAAGGAACAATTTCAAAGAGATCCCCAGCTGGCCCTTTACAGGAAAGCCCGACCAGCCTTATCAAGCCTAAACTGGGCTGGAAAACTGGAGCTCATCTTATTTTGCCAGTAAGTAAGGTGTTTACTGAATTTTTGTGGGTGCCAGACATGCCTCCGTTATTGGTCTAGGAGATTATAGCTCCTTGAGAATTGACTTATTACGGTGCACAAGGAATCTGAATGAAAAGATGCGTTATTGGTTCAAATACAGTGCTGTTCCCGACAGCAAAGCTTGTGACCTCACGAAGCCGGGCACCTGAGCGCAGCAGTCGCAGGGCAGGGAGGCCATCGGCCCGGGAGCTCCTGCCGACTTGCCTGAGCTGCTAAGCAGAGTTTATCATCTCTGATTCAGTGTTACTTTCCTCACCTTCACGTTGGATTGGATTGGGTTGAGGGGTGGGGTCGGTGGATTATCTCTAGACACCTTTGGGCTCTGACACTTGTTCCAGGTCGTGCTTATCTCTGACTGTTGTACGGCTTCTGCAGGGTGTCACCTACTGTGGAGAGAGCTCAGCCAGCAGTCTCACCATGGCCAACGTGCCCTGGCATGAGGAGGTGGTGCACTTTGTCCGGGACTTGGTGGATCTGATCCCCGACTACGAAATTGCTTGTGAGCACGAACATTCCAACTGCCTCCTTATCGCTCACAAAAGGGTAAGCAGAACCCGGCTTGTGTTCTTCCAGCCGCTCCTTCTTCTCCTCAGTGTCTCCTCCCTTCGTTGTAGGGGCGTCCGCTTGTTTGCTTCCTTTCCTGAGATGACTTCAGGAGGCCCTCAGTGGTTGTGTGCGTAATGATGTAGAGAACAAAGGTCAAAGAAATATAGGAAAAAACTAAACTGCATTACAGCTTACAGCCCATCGACAAGTACTCGGGACAGGCAGGGTGACCGTCCTCCAGGAACTCAACTCCCCCCATGTTAATACCTTGCTAAAGGCAAAAGGCAGCCTTCGCTTGGCAGTAGTCCAACCTCCAGGGTCCTGTGAATCTTCTTTAACATCGAAAATCCCCTTGGAAACGTCTTTTCTCTATCCATCCGCCCCCAAGATACGTGTTAGTAATCATCTTCCAAACGTGGTTCCCTGATACCTAGCTGAAGGCTCTCTTGACTCCGGTTTTACCAGACAGTACTAAATGACATTATCCTAACAGCAGCTAGCCCCTCAAGGTCCCGGAAACCTGGCTTCCCACTTTCTCAGAAACTTACGCTATCCAGGGGCGCCTGGGTGGCTCAGAGGGTTAAAGCCTCTGCCTTCGGCTCAGGTCATGATCCCAGGGTCCTGGGATCGAGCCCCACATCGGGCTCTCTGCTCAGCGGGGAGCCTGCTTCCCTTCCTCTCTCTGCCTGCCTGTGGTCTCTGTCTGTCAAATAAAAATAAATTAAAAAAAAACAAAAAAACAAAAAAACTTACGCTATCCCTGACCCCCTCCCAGCTTGAAAATATGTGATCAGTCACTCCTCACAACCCCAGCACAGCTCTTCTGCCTACAGGTCCTGTCTGCCTGCCTTAATGAAACCATCCTTTTTGCACGAAGATAATCTTGAGAATTCTTTCCTGCTGTTGGCTCCTAGACACCAGCATTTTACATCAGACAGGATGACTGTTGAGATGGGATGATAGCACAGTCAGGTTTGCTTGACGACTCTGCATCCTTTTCTATTCAAGTTCTGCATTAACAAGTGCTTTTTTAATTTTTTTTAAAGATTTTATTTATTTATTTGACAGAGACATCACAAGTAGGCAGAGAGGCAGGCAGAGAGAGAGGAAGGGAAGCAGGCTCCCGGCTGAGCAGAGAGCTCGATGCGGGGCTCAATCCCAGGATCCTGAGATCATGACCTGAGCCGAAGGCAGGGGCTTTAACCCACTGAGCCACCCAGGCGCCCCGCACAACAAGTGCTTTTTTTAAAAAAAGGGGACATGGATGAACCCTGAAAACATTATTCTAGGTTAAAAAAAAACAAACAAACACAATTGTGCACTATTACATGATTCCATTTGTCTAAAATGTCCAAACCGGGTAAATCCGAAGTGACAGAAAGTAGATCGGTGGTTGCCAGAGACTGAGGAGGAGCAGGCTGGGAAGTGACCACTGCCAGGCACAGGTGTTCTTCAGGGGTGATGGAAATACTCAAGAATTACCGAGTGGTGTCGGTTGCCCATCTCTGTGACTATACCAAAGTCCATGAGTTGTACCCTTTAAAAGGCTGAATTTCGTGGCATGTGAGTTATATCACAATCAAGATAAATTAATACCAAAAAGATAATAAAGGCCAAGAGTGGAGTACCTCTTCTTATATAAGTGCTTTTTATGCGACTAAAGTCAGGCTTAATTTGAACATGAAAGAACATTTTATCCTCCCCCAAAACCTTACATGGCTTCCCAAACAGCTTCTTAGCTGAACAGCACTTAATAATACAAGAATTGCTCAATTAAAATTTCACCTCCTCTCGTCTCACAAGTGCCAGGTTAAAAGGCCCGCATGTGTTGGTTGCGGTGAGAGTGTATGCAGCTGACCTGTGGTCTGTCAGACTTAAATACTTAGACAGAGGAGTATGCTCTGGGACGTCAAGGAACAGAGAAATAAAGGCCACCTGGTATTTGAAATGTTAATTAAAGTAGCTTCAAAGCTAATTAACTTACAAAGCAAATCTTAAAAATTAAAGCCAAACCCTGAATTTTATTTTCTGGTTCTTTGTTCAGTGTTTTTGTAGGTACGAGACTAGAGAATATGGATCTCTCGTGCTCAGGCGCTTCAGTGACCTCCCTTTGCTTTTAACTTAAAAGCCAAAATCCTTAGTGGGACCTTAGGACCCAGTGTGATCGGGCTGTGCACCTCTCCAGCTTCCTACACTGCTTGTCCCTCTCTCTCTGCACTTTCTTTATATTCTCAGCCACATTAGGTCTCACTTTCCCTTTAAATAGGCTGGAATTTCAGACTCTTTTCTGTTCTTGTAGTGGTGCACTAGGAATGGCCGTATTGACTAATCACAGTCTGACGGTAGAGGATACTTCTACACTCTAACTGCAAAGCAGGGACCTGAGAACACCTCATCAACCCCCGTTCCCCTTCCCAGCGCAGGTGCTGTTACTCTTGCGCACGGTAGTTGTGAGCGGGCAGAGCATCGTCGCTAACTGCCTCACAGAGTCAGGGCTCCGTTGGATGCACATGCATCTTTAACTCTGTTTTGCTCTCCGTTCCTTTCTGCATTTTGACCCTCCACATGGAACTGTTTTCCTTCTCCCCAGAAAACACTTTTCAACATATGCGTTGGTGGGAGTCTGCGGATGGAAAATTCCGTTCTTGTTTGTCTGGAAATGAACACTTGGCTGGGGATGAAATTCTGGGTTGACATTTGTTGCCTTTCACCACAAGAGAGATAATCTCTTGTCTTTTAAATTCCATTGATAACAAGTCAGCTATTGGGGTGTCCTCGTTTTCAGATAATCTGCCGTTTTCACGCTTTTGGCTTCTCTTTTGGTTCTGCCCATATCCACAGGGAGTTCCCAGAAGGCGCCACGCAGCTGAATTCAGTGTGATAAATGCAGTAACAGGCATAGCTACCCAGGTACACACCAGCACGAAGAGACAGTCTGAGACCGACGCTTGTTAGCTAATGTTTCTTGAGCACCCAAGGTGTGTCGGGCCTGGTGCTGGGTACTAGGGATGTGAAGATGAGTTAAGCAAATCGTCCTTGCCTTTGAGAGTGGTCTGACAGAAAAAAGAAAAAAGGCAACTATTGAAACCAATACCTCCAGTTTTTCATCAGAGCAATGATGGAAGAGTAGAGTAGAACCTGGGGGCGGGGTGTGCTGGGGACAATATGCTACTATTGGGAGAGGCTTCCCAGAGGAGTTGCTGTTTGACTGGATGTCCAGCGACAGCCCAGCGAGGACGGACATGAAGGCAGAAAAATGTACAAGGAGAAGTCCTTGGAGAAGTGTAGAGGCCTAACCTGTTGGGAGAACGACGAGTAGTTCATTATGGCCAGAGTTCAAAAGAAGGGTTGAGGGGAAAGGAAGGGAGGTGACTGGTCAGGGGCAAGGGCGTTGGTGCTGAATGGAATCCTAGTCGTGCAGTTTCCTGTACAGCACGGGCAGCGCTGAAGGGTTTGAAGTAGGACAGTGACACAATCAGATTTGGGTCTCAGAAAAATTTGTTTAGCAACATTAGGGGGTATGAACTGTAAGACCAGAAGACACAGAAACCAGTTAAAAACTTGTGATAGTCCAGCAGTCCAAGGGTGACATAATGAGGGTCTGAAACAGAGGCTGTGAAGGGAGAGAAAGGAGAATGGGAGACTTGGTCAGACACTCGGTGCAGGCTGCTCTCTGTCTTCCTAGGTGAGTCGGGGGTTGGTGTCACCTCAACCAAGTGGATGTCAAGGTTCGGGTCCCCACTCGGCCTCCATTGACCTGTTGGGAGAGGAGTGCCTCCTTTTGGCTAATTTGGGGGTGAAAGTTTGGGCTCTCCCCACAGAACCTCTGCTCCACGCTGACTAGGAAGGGAGGACCACCTTGTTGCTGCTCCGCAGGGACAGTATGGGATGGATGTGGGGGCCTCGGTGCCCCTAGGCAGTAGGGAAGGTCTTGGCTCTCTTCTAAGCTTCCTCCGTCCCCACTCTGGCGTGGGTGGGGTGAGGTACCTTGCTATGGCCAGGTGAGGCCAGTGCTCCTGGGATCACGGAGGGAGCGAGGGTGGGATGGCCGGATCCTCCACTCCACCTCCTCTGAGAGCTCCCCAGCGGCGAGGAGGGAGGGCGCGGCCCTACATGGCTGGGCAGATGTGAAGGTCTAGGGTCCCTCATAGATGCTGACTGACCCGGGCTGAGAATCGGGCATTTTTTTCATGGCCTAGGTTGGTTATTGCTTAAGTTTTCTGTCCTGCTAGCTAGGGTGCCCTTTTCCTGGTCCTCCGGCTGAGAAAAGCAGGTTTTCATGGAGCTTCGTTTGCTGTTTGTGCCCTTTGGTGTTTCGGGATTGCGGGTCTTCAGCCACCTCTGGGCTCCTGCACCCAGTGCGGGATCCTTAGTAAGAGCCACAGACAGAGCCCAGGGGATGCGTAGCCGGTCTGCCTTCTTGCATCTACCTTTGCAATCGTCTTGGGTTTGTTTTGTATATGATACCCAGGGATTTTAGCCACACAGTGGGAGAGGTAGGAAGAAGTGCGTATCCTCCATCTTGTCCGGAAGCAGGAGTCTGCGACCACAGTTTTGACATTTATAGATTTTGGCTTAGTATCTCCTCAGTGAGCAGTAACGCCAGTCCGCTGGGTACACCGTAAATTACAGATTATTTAGCAGAATACGTCCATGTAAGTTGATTTTCTTTACTGGTGTTAGAAGTGTCACCCAGGATGTTACAAGGCTGCCCTGCAGTGTTACCGGGAAGAGTTTCCTGAAACTTACATGAAGATGTCCCTGTCCGATCCTCGTCGGGGCCTGTCAGATCCCGTTTAATGAGGAGGCCGGCAGTTACCGACGGGTGCCTTTTTAAGGTCACAAAAAACAGAGCTATAACCAAAAACCAAATCAAGGAAAGAAACAGAAAAAGAGAAAAATGAAACCTAAGACTAGAAGAACCCGTAACACAAGCCGTTTAGGTCATAAATAACAGCGTGGGCATTGACCGTTTAATGGCCTCATTGTTCATGCTG